ATACTCCCAGCCCTGTTTTTGATTTGTTTAATTTTGTTTGTTTGTTAGGCTTTTTTGAGACAGCGTCTTGCTCTGTAATTCAGGCTGGCCTTGAGCTCATTATGTAGCCCAAGCTGGCCATGAACTGGCAGCATTCCTTCTGCCTCACTTCCCAAGTGCTGGGATTACAAGTGTGCATCACCACATCCAGCACCTCCAGCCTTTTTGTTTGTTTTTTATTTTGAGATAAGTTCTGACTAAGTCACTAAGTTTCCCAGGTTGAGCTTGAATTTTTGATCTCCTACCTTAGCCTCCCAGCGTACTGGGATTACAAGTATTCACCACCATGTGCAGCTAAATTATTGCCATCAGAGAAAATTTCCTTTCATTATTTGCTTCTACCAGTTGCTTAAGGGTACTAAATTTAAAACTTTTTTGGGCCATATAGATAAAGATAGTATAATTTCTATATCTGAAATCTTTGAGGAGAAAGGCCAGTTTTGGGTTCACATTTAGGGTAGAGTGTGGAGGCCTTTTCTTCTCTTTGTCCTTGGGTGAATGCTGGCTGTTACATTTTCCCTTTCTGGGCTACTTGTTTCCTTAATTTGCTCTTTTTTAAGGATACTGCCTTTTGGCTGTTCTGTGGAGTGTCCCTCCTCTGAGGCACCTACTTTGTGAGGGCCTTGGCATTTGCCCATTAAAAACCCAAGTTCCAATCACAAATTCTCTCTGCTCCCTAAGGTTGACACTATTTTCAGTGTTTTCTTATCTCTCTGAATTTCTGCTTTCAGGGATCATTTCTTAATTTTTTATTTGCTTAGCTCTGTGTATTTTTTTTCATACTGGGAATTGAACTCAAGACCTTGCACTTGCCAGGCAGGTGTGGTGCCACATCTGTGGCACTCTGTGTATTTTTTAAAAAACAGCATTTTAGAAAGTAATTTATATGCTGTTTTTAAGTGTATATTGCAGTGATTTTTAGTAATTTTTGGAACTGTACAGCCATCATCACAATCTAGATTTAGAACTTTTCTGTCATCCACCAATGTTTTATTTTTTATATCTTATTCCCTAGTAAAATTGCTAATAGCCTTCTCTAGAAATTGGAAAGATATAGGCTTATCTTCTATTCCTTCATCTTTTCCCTTGTTGGTTTGGAGGTAATTATTACAAATGTTTTGAAGGGCTTTGGAATTTCTGTGACCTGCAGTTGGGACTTCTGCTTTATGACTAGTTTGAGAAAGTTGAGTTACTGATGTCACTGTTATTTTTTAATTACAGGAATTTAGAGCGTTTTAAAGAAGAAAACTTAGATGGTAGCTTGACTAAAGGCCCCATGGGAAGTAATGCAGGTTTTGAGCTTCCCCCAAGCCTGCAACTTTGGTCATGGGGTCACCATTTAGACTTCACAGCTCCCTGTCTCACAGCTCCTCTCATATGTTCACTTCTACAGCAGGCATAAGCCATTATGCGAGGAGAGCAAAAAGAAAGCTCCTCTTCTACAAAGACTCTAGGGTTGGAGGCATTTGAGAAACTCAGCCAAATGCAGAACTAGGAGCAGTTAATATGAGAATGGGAAACAACTTTTGTTTGTTTGATTTAAGAAAGTCATAAACTCAAATATATTAGAGGAAAATAGTCTTAGGGATATTTTTCCAACAGACAACTTCATTTAAATCCTGTTTAAAGATAATCCACTGTGGCCGGGATTTAGCTCAGTGGTTGCACTGCCTGCCTCGAAAGTGAAAGGACCCAAGTTCAATCCTTGGTACCCCCCCCCCCAAAAGAAAAGATAATCCACTGTGAAATAAAGATTGAGCTTTCCTAAGTGGCTGAAAAGTTGTCTTTTCTGTTTTGTACAGATATCATATTTGCTGATCTGACATACCCTGGCTTTGACAGTCTATAGCTCAAATGGTCACTGGGCTACTTCTAACATCAACAAAATTCAAAGCTGGTTTTGTTTTATCAGGTGTTTGTGAGTTTTCAGAAGCAACCTATTCTTCTACAAGGTCCATCCATATTTAGAGTGAAGCAGAACTTAGACAAGGAGGGATCTGTGACTTCAAAGCTAGTGGTCACAGTGTCAGTCATAGCCCACTTCTTAGATTAGCAGGAATCTGAGACATTTATGTTGCTAATACACAAGTAATATAACTATAGTAGCAAATATAATTTATTTTCAGAACAAATTGAAAGATACTGCTTATTGCTTTACAAAGTCTCAGCTCTACTAGGTCTTCTGTGGAAGTTAGGTGCTCCAAGAGTTTGTAATTTAGACATTAGATTCTTCTTTAGTCTTCGTATTTCTGGAGCCTCAGATTTTCCACAGAAAGAAACATTTAGGAAGTCCTTGCCCTCATTCTCCTTTCACTGTAGTCAGGCCTGGCGCTGTAGTGTATGAGGCTAGCCCACAGAACTGTGGTGAAGATTGCATTTGCACATTTGTCATGGTTAGGCTGAGTAGCTGTATCCATGGAGGGTGAATTGAAGCTCATTCATCCAGAGAAGACTGTCGGTGACAGGCGCCGCTTCCTCCACCCAGGCCTTCTAAAGCAAGTAGTGTGCTCTTGTAGAACATCACTGCTTTAGCAGCACATCAGAACATTTAAAAGTAATGTTTTAAAATAAAGAATACCTCCTCCATACCTTTTGTTTTATTATGATTTGTATCAAGAAATGCAAAGATGGTTTACAAAATTCAGCCATTTCAGCCTTAGCCACACTCTCATGTGTCTTAGACACCTGCATGTCTGATCTGCATAGAGAATACTTACGTAATCTTTGGCTTTTTAATTTAAGTGTTTTATGAGTTTTAAGGATTCACAAAATTGAGAATATAAACTAAAATAAAATCATATTAGTAGTGACTACAAGGTAAAAGGAAGAATCAGAATTAGGATGGTCCTAATTCTGCAACCTGGCTGGCCTGAAAGATGCAGGGCTGCCATCCATCTCACCAGGGAGCTTGGTTAGTCCAAAACTGCTAATTCGGTGATCAACATCAAATTTTACGTTTTTTAGAATGCATTCTTTTTTGTTTTTTTGTACCAGGGATCGAACTCATGTCCTTGTGGTTGCAAGGCAGGCGGCGGAACCATTGAGCTAAATCCCTGGCCTAGAATGCCTTCTTAACACAGTAAAGCAATAGAAGTTATAGATTATTCTTCATGGACATATCTAATTTAAGCTTTTGCTGTCTGTTTCACATCATAAACTGTACATTTTGAGGGTAAATTTTCCTCCCAGTACTGGGGACTGAACCCAGGGTTAGGCACATGTTAGGTACTCTACCACTGAGCTACATTCCTAGCCCTTTGAAAATTTTTGAGGCAGTCTCACTGATTTGCCCAGGCTGGCCTCCAACTTGTGGTCCATCTGCCTCAGCCTCCTGAGTAGCTAGTATTACAGGTGTACACAACTGTGCCAGCTGAAGGTAATTTTTAAGTCTTAAGTTTTATAAAATTTATCTTAGATCATATTTTACAGTAATCTTTAAAGAAATAGAATTCTTTAATCATTTCTGCAGATTGTCATCCTGAAAAGAAATGCCTCTTTGCTCAGGTTGACAGTAGAAGATAACACTGTAAGCTATAGATATTGTTTCTTCATGTTATTTTGAAGGCCCCATAAACATTAATGATATGACTTTCCATTTCCTTAGGTTTCTATGTTTAAATTGCATGCTACTTCTTTTGTTTCTCTTTGCTATTAGGCATTGCAGGATTTTGATAGTTAATAGTCTTACAGGAAGCTGATAATCCTTAACTGTGCCACTGCAAACAACAGCCATAATAGTGTATAATTTTTCTTGTGCGTGTATGTGCTTAAGTTTGGTGGAGGAGTGAAAATCAAAGGTTATTGCCATTGCCCTTGTTTACTGTGGTATTAGATTCTAGAAAGTGCCTCTGATATTCCACTGCCTACGCCTTTATCATTCATAACTCATTTTACACCTGGGGTAAAGATCTGTCTCAGCATTGTGTAGTCACTTGGGCCCTAGCATTGCTAATGGAATTGACAAGCCTATTCATTTAGAAACATGGATAAGTGATCACTGCCTTTGCAGTTGCTACAGAACACCATTCTCAACACAGCCGGAGCTTTAGCAAAACAAGTGTGATACAACTCAGAAGGATGGTTTTTGGCTCCATTAGCTATATCACTGAAATGTTTCGCTGGGAAGATAAAGATTTTGTTTCAAATTAAGCACTGTCAGTCAGGAAAGAGTTAAGCTGTCAGTGTTTTTGAGATCCCAGTTGAAGGACAGTTTTGCTCTTACCTCTGGAATATTATCCCTGTTTCCATTTCCATTTTTTGAGGATGGCCTTGGGTCTGTCTTGATGTTGTCTTCATGCTTTTTATTTGTAAAAAGGCTCATGTTCAAATAAAACTTATCTTGGCTTAAATCAAGCATTCATACACCTGTCAAATGAGAACAGCAACTTAGAATTTTTATTTTCTTCTTTCAAAAACAGCTGCAAAATTCATGTTTATTTGTGGATACCAATGGTGCTTTACTTTTTTATGAGATAGGGTCTCCCTGTGTATCCTAGGCTGGCCTGGAATTGGCAACAATCCTTCTTCCTCAGCCTCCTGAGTGCTGGGATTACAGGTGTGTGCCACCACACCCAGCCAGTGGTGCTTTCCTAATGCCCTTAGTTCTTCACCTTTTCTTACATTATTGCCTGTACCAGAGAGCTTCTTTCTGAAGTTTACGTGCAGACAGGTTAGAGTCCCTGCACAACCTCTGAGGTACAGGTTCTGGGATCTTTCCAGGTTCTGCCATCAGCCTACAATGTTATGTGTCTTATGAGTCTGTATAGTTTGCTTAGTATATAGTTTTAAAATGTGTCCTCATAAGCATATTGTGAGAAGTGAAGTCCCATTGGTGTACTCCTCGTCTGTTCTGGAAAGTTTTGGGGTAGGAGTGGATTTATGTTTGTAAATAGGTATATGCCTGTTTTCCTTAGTCATAAGAGAAAAATCCTCAGATAGTTTTGTGTTGTTCTCTCATATAGGTTGCCAACTTGGCCTGTTCCATCTCAAACAATGAAGAAGGTGTAAAGCTTGTTCGAATGTCCGCAAGCCAGTTAGAAGCCCTCTGTCCTCAGGTAAAGTACATCCAGCAGTGTCTGTATCACCACCAACCTAGGTTTTAGTAGAGTGGAGATGCAGCTTATTTTTTAAGTTTTGGGATTTTTTTTTTTTTTAAAGGATTTTAAATAAAGATCTTGGAGGCAAACCACTGATGCAAAATCTGTATGTTTGGAAAATGTTTATGTGCTGTTTTGTGTATTGTTGTCACTCTCCTTACAGAGCCACGACTGCAACCCTTTTGACTTTTTTTTTTTTGGTACCAGGGATCGAACTCAGGTTCTTGCACTTGGGCAGCAGGCGGCAAAACCACTGAGCTAAATCCCTGGCCCCTTTTGACTTTTTGAGACAGGGTCTTCCTAATAAAAAGACACCCACTGGCCTCTAACTTGGGATCCTCCTGCCACAGCCTCCCAAGTAGCTGGGATTATAGGTGCTGTGCCACTGCATCTGCCTAGAAAATTTCCGTATCACTTCCTCTTGGCATCACACATCACTAACTTCTGCCGTTTGGTAAAAATGCAGTGTCCTTCATTGCTAGAAAATGAGTGTCAGTGACCACATTCCCTGCCTGGTAGTCTGAAACCACAATGGTTCCTCAAATCCTGAAACTAACAGCTGTCCACCTGTACCCCATCCTAGTGACCAGTACTGGGGTCTCTGTTGGAGGGAGCTACAGATCATAGTTAGTGTCCTTTCCCTAATGTCCTTAAGGAGCTGATATACAGACAATAACTTAATTCAGCTGGTAAATTCTACAGAGCTTTTCTCTAATGGTGTGTTGGAAGACAGGTGATTAGGCTATGGTAAGCCTGTGGCACTCCGGAAAGACTGAAGTTCATGGGACAGTGAATACCCTTTAAGTGACCAGTGTGTTGCCTGCCACCTCTTAGGGACCTCACTGTCTCCGTAGCCTGATACTCCCTGCCACCCAAGCAGCATGGGTGGTGTTTTGGTAGAAGAGTTTGCTTTTCCATTTTCCCAAGTAGCAAATGTTCAGGACATACTCTGAGGACTTACAGTAACCTCTTTCTGCATGTCCTGCCAGATGGCAGTGGCCACAGACAGACAAGTGAGCTGCAGAAGTGGAGTGAAAGTAGATGTCAGAGGAATGACATTTCCATGTTATGTTTGCAGCCATTTTAAAAATATACTGTGACATTACTTTGGCTCTTTCATAAAAATATTCCCCAGCAGTCAAGATAGCTTAGTTTGTCAGTGATTACTTTAGAGTTAGGTAGTTTGATGAGCAGCTTGTGAATCCACATCATCTGATGGATATTTCCATAATTTTAACCCAGCTATGAAATCTGCCAGTGATTACTACCTATACAAATAGTGCAATGGATTTAATCATCACCTCCAGAAAAGTTCATGGATAACTAAATTGTATGAAATAGATTTAGAGTGGATTTCAAAAAATTGGGCATTCTTTTCTCAAGTTTGCCATTTTATCCTATCAACACTTTGTTTTTAATATCCTTGGTTCTCTGCTTGCTTTTGAAATGCTTGAAAAGCGACAATGCTTCCACATATCTTAGAAACAGATGGTAACATACGCTGATCACACCTACCAAGAGTATTTATATAAATGATCTAGGGGAAAAATCACATGGGGTGTCTAATAGGTCCTAATGAAAGCCATGTTTGACTAGGTCATGTGCACAGTTTAGAGTTTACCATCAGAAAGTCTCATTTCTTCCTCTACTTGCAGTTTCGTGTCTGTTACTAAATGGACCTCAGGAGGAATGGGCATTAGACAGATTTTACCCACATAACTCTTGGTATGAAGTATATATCCTACATACAAAATTGTTTTCCAGATGTGATTATTCTCCACATTTTGGCTGGCCGCCTCCTTGCCCTTGCTCGAAAACTGCTCTGCAGGTGGGGCTGGGCAGGGTCAGTAATGGCAAATATAGTAGATTTTGGTAGGTCTGATAATGGCAGACTGAGCAGCATGGCCTTTTTGTTCTTCAGTAAGGAAGCTATCACTGCACTCTGGCCCATTACAGCCAGACCCCTTCATTACTTTGAAAGATAGCCATTTGGATTTTTCTGTCAAGTCATATGGCGTCATGTGTCCTAGTGAAATGGATGTGAGAGAAAGCCATTGCTACTCTAGTGACCAAATTCTCCTGTTTTGTTTGTGTGACTATGAAAAAGAGTAAACAATGAACTTACTGTCTCTTGTAGGTTATTAATGCTGCATTGGCTTTAGCAGCAAAACCTCAGAGTAAATTGGCTCAAGAGAATATGGATCTTTTTAAAGAACAGTGGGAAAAACAAGTCCGTGTTCTCACAGATGCTGTTGATGATATTACATCCATTGATGACTTCTTGGCTGTCTCAGGTAATGAGCTGGTTTCCCAGAGAAGTATGTAAGGATGTGCATAATTACTTTCATCTAAGTTATAGTAATGAACAGTTAGATACTCCCAAGTATGGGCAGGTACATTTTTCTAGCAATAATATGCTGGCTTTCAAAAAAAATGCTACTGCTGCCTCCTGAGCAGTAGGAAGTATGATTGGAGCCATATCCCTCGTGGCAAGGCTAGTCTTGATCTTGGAAGCATAAGTTCTGTTTCCTTCTTGGAAAGCCTCTGTCTTGCAGAAGTGATCATAGTTTAACTGCCTACTTTTCTGAAGACTGTCTGATGCACAGATAGAAAACAGAGAGGAAATATTTAAGTGCCGTTTAATTATGAACTTGCAAAAAATAAATCTGGGTAATTCACCTCACAAAAACAGTTGATTTCATTATATAAACATAAACTGGTAATGACATAGTAAATTGCATTCATATAGAAAATGTCTGTCAAATGCAATTCAGTGTTTATCACACAGAGATAAATTTCAATCCTATCTCCTTAGAGTTCAGTAACATTAAATGCATTCTCCATTTAACCAGGCCTCTGTTGCCCTTGGCTGCTGTCTGGAAGTGCCAGGCTTCCTGAGGCCAGTGGCTTCAGGCAGTCAGCGGCTGGGTTCTTACAGGGCTAAAACCACCAGTCACCCGAGGGAACCACAGGCTAGAATGTGGGAGATGAGTGGCAGTGGGGCTTGAAAGCGAAGTGGGGCTTAAGTACATGCATAGCACAGTCCTAAAGCAGTGACCTATATAAGGGTGATGGTGTGTTCCGCATACCAATATTTCCTGTCTTTGCGTGCTCTCCTTGGGATTGGTAACTTTGGCTTTACTTCAGATAGTGGGAAATAGGCAATTTGTAAACTGTAAAAAGCTAGGGTAAACCGTGTTGCTGCAGGACCGCCAAATTGCAGGTGCTGGTACTTTAAAACAAAAATCTCATTTCCAAGCACATCTTTGCAGGTGCCAAAAATGCAGCAATGGCTTTTTTGGGAAATCTTGGCCTTCTGTTGTTTTTCCCAATGAAGTACTGAATTATTCTTTTTCATAGATTTAGAGAAAAACATTCCACCTTCATAGCACACTTTTAAGCAAACAACAAATTCTGAAATCTAAATGCAGAGTCCCCCTCTGGATGGATATTACCTTCCTACAATTCATTTTTTGAGATTAGCTAGGTTGGCTCAGGCTTGGTCTCAAGGGATTTTTAGTCCTTCTTACAGAAAAATAAAATGTAATAGAATCAAATGTCCCTCATGCAACATTCTTCAAATCAAAGAACAAAAGGGATTCTGCAGCAGCATTTAGTGGGATCCAGCAGTATCTGTAGGGTACATGACATAAAACAAAAATAGTAAAGAAAAATCAAATTCTTTAGCAGACATTTGTCTGGCGAATGTATTCAATTTTTATGCAAATGTATGAGAGTTTAAGACAGGGTTGACTTGATGGTAAAGAGTTTAGACAGTTTCTATTTAGCAAATGAAAACCTGGAACTGTTCACTTAGGAAGTGGTGTTTACAGAGGCTCTAACTTCAGAGGTCTACCTGGTGTGTTTTTCTAATGTTTGTTACAAGCTTGCTGAGGAATGTCAATTAAGTAATTAGTAGGCCCAGGCTTTACTCACAAATCCTCTGCTTTTTAGAGGATGGCATGAAGTGAGGAAAGAAGCACAAGTCTATGCAAAGTTCTAGTGGTCTAAGCAGTTGATTTCCAGCGCTCAGACTCTTTCATACCCTCAGACATTTACCTCCCCATGGCAGCTCTAGTACTCACAACATGGGGGAGTAGAGATGTTTTCTCATCTCACCTGCCATTCATCCTAAGTAGATGTCAGCTGCAGCAGGCACGAAGCCATGTCTGGCCTCACCTAGACGTGCATCATGTGCCAATCTCCCCGTGCACTGGTGCTGCAGTGGTAACTCAGTGAGATGAGGTTTTTTTCTAAGAAGGGGGCCTACCAGACAGAATCTGACTTAAGGTAGGTGGACTTCATAGAATTTGTCTAGCAGTAAGGATGTTGGTTGACTTCCTGGACTCATTATTTTCTGCTGTATGCGGGAGCCTTGAGTCCCTTTGGCAGATTGAGAAGTTTTATAGAATAGTTCCATTATGATGTTCCACCATCTAGTTCCCTCTTAGAATCCAAGGGGCCCAGATATTTGCTGCAGCCCTCCTGACTTACTGAGAACCCATCTAAGGAGAAAATATATATGGGATAGGGCTGAGAACCCTGATTTTTCTAGTTTTTTTTGTTCATTGATTCCAGAAGGTCCCTCACACAAGTTACATCCTGAATTTTGGCCCTAAAAGTAATGGTCATCTTGTGTGTAAAGCCACCAAGAACCAAGATGGCCTTTGTTTTGTTTTGTTTTAAGGTAAGGGAGTTGTAATCAGGGCCCTCATAACATGCCAAGCAAGTGTTGTACCACTGAGCCACACCCCTAGCCCCAGCACTAGCCATTCATTCATTCATTCATTCAGTACTGGGGTCAAACCTAGGGCCTCTTGCATGCTAGGCAAGCACTCCCCCCTTCCCCCTCGACACACTGGCATTTTATATGAGGTTGCAAGGCAAGAGGGGACTTGGATGCCAGCATGTTCAATATGATAAAGAGAATAGCACTTATCTTTAAAGAGGGGAATGCACATACTATTGCCCCCAGGGAAGATGAAGTAGACTCTCTTCTTCCCAATACTGAAGATGGCTTAGGGTGTTACAGGAACTTTCAGCAGACCAAGAATGTATTTTTTTCTTTTTTGGTACCGGGGATCGAACTTGGGACCTTACGCTTGCAAGGCAGGCGCCAGAACCACTGAGCTAAATCCCCAGCCCCTCAAGAATGTATTTTTACTGACTGATTCTCTGAAGGAGAGTGGCTTGAAATTTATGAAAGTGATAAAGACTGACTTTCATTTGAATTTGATACACACTGTCCATAGAAAAGCAATTTATTTCCTCATTTGTTTATTATGCTTAGGTGTTGAAGTTTTGGCTTCTTGATTTAAAAGATGCAAGTGGTTGTTTAGAATAGTTCTAACTGAGTTTATTATATTTCTTATCAAATGCTCTTAAAAACAAATATATTGCATTAAGTACTTTGAGTTTTGTCTTTAAGTGTCAGTGCATCCAAATAATTTGGCCTGATTTTGTTACAAAAGAGTTATCACACACAGTTTTTGGTTTTGTGTTTCATAGCAAAAAGCAAAACTATAGATTAGTTTTTCTTTGGAGGAAGTGATAGATATCAGTGAAGTAAGGAGCTTTGATTCCTGATTTCCTGTGTCCACTCACAGTGTGACCTTGAGCAAGTCTCTCAGAACTTCTGTACATTAGTTTCTTCATTAATTAACAGATTATTTTTTAAAGAAAAATACTGCAAGTTGAGAGAGCTAAATGTCAAGCACTCAGAATAGTGCCTAACTGAGTAAGCCTACATAAAGTGTGAAACAATAGTAGCATTTCCTGTGGGTGCCTTGGTGGTACTGATAAAGTTATCTAGGCCAAAGAATATGTTGTCACATGTTGGGGACTGGAGTTCTTGTATACTTTCTAGAAAATGCCAGTTGGCATGATTTCTGGAGGGAAATTAGGTACTGTACAGCTACTTTTAACTCAGAAATTTCATTGCTAGAAATTTTCCCCAGGGAGAAGTCACAAATGTTTGCCAAAATACGTCTATAAGAATGTTTTCAAGCCAGGCATGGTGGTGCATTCCTGTAATCCCAGCACTCAGGAGGCTGAGACGGGATTGCTGTGAGTTCCTTCAGAGTGTCTTGACAAAGAGTAGATAAGTGAATTGTGACCCCTCCATCTACTCCATAGAGTCCTGTGTACGTATTAGAATGGGTGGGGTAGATCTGTAGGGCAGACCTAGAAAGTGACAAGGAGTAGTGTCCATGATAGGATCTCCTTGGTGTCCACTGACATACAGCTGTAGACATCTGTACAAACACACTGTTGTATGTATGTGTATTTGTGGGGTTTTCCTATTAGAAGCACTCATACAAATAATGACTGCGTTAAATAGTTTTTAAGGGAGTACAGATTTGGTGGTTCTACTCATAATGTACATCCTATGGACATTCAGCTAAAGTGATGCATGATTTCAGTTAATGTGGGGACTTCCTGACTTCCCACATTTGCACACAAATAGGGGGCTCTGACTTCTCTTTATGGTTCAGGTGGAGAGAGCAGGCTCAGTGCTGTGTCCCAGATGTGTGGTGGCTCCAGCTCAGCTGGGGCTTTCATGGAGACAGCCATTCAGCAAGGGGAGAGAATATTTCTTTAGTCAGCCTCCTAAAATAGCAGACTTCCTCAATTCAGTCAGTCAGTCAATCAGTCATTACAGCAGACTTCTTTACTGCTAAATGGATGGCATGGCATACCTGTCCCTGGTTTGAGGTCACTGGAAGAAAGTCAGTATGGATTCAAGAAGGTCTAAATTGATTTTTTATTTGTTTGGTTTTTTGTACCGGGGATTGAACTCCAGACCTTGCACTTGCGAGGCAGGCGCAGTGCCACTGAGCTAAATCCCTAGCCCTTAAATTGATATTTGAAAACAGGCATCTGGAATAAAAGTTTGGTGTACTGTGTTTAATGAACAAGAAGGAATGCCATATTTCATTGATTCTAAGATGTACTTTCCCCTCCTAAGTATTAATAATCCCGAAACAGGGTTAAGTCTTAGAATCAATGATATGAGAAAACACAGGTTCATAGTTTTGTTAGCAACATATTTTCTTTCCTTTTCAGTACAAGATGTATCTTATAAATCAGTGTTGTGTTAGGTTCAGTAAAAGCAGCTGTTTTCAACCCAAGGTGATGGATGGTGGGCAGCATTAGTACCTGTTCATTTAGTTTAGATTAGTATGTAGATGGGTTTGCTTTGGTTTGAGGAGGGAGTGTTTGTTACTGGGGACTGAACACAGGGCCTTTAGTCTGAGCTATATCCCCAGCCCTTCCCCCACCCCCACCCTACTGGGGATTGAACTCAGGACCTTGCACTTGCCAGGCAGGCTAGGCACCACTGAGCTAAATCCCTGGCCCTAGCCCTTTTTATTTTAAGACAGGGTCTCACTAAGTTGCCCAGGCAGAACTCTGACTTGGGATCGTCCTGCCTCAGCCTCCCAAGAGTGCTGAGATTATAGACAAGTGCCATCATATCTGGGTGAGTTTATGATGAATTTCAAGTCATTTATTCTTGCAGTTGGTTCAAATATCCCCCTAAAATTTATTTAGAAGTTTAATAAATTTTCTCTTTCCATAGTACATCGTTGTAAACCCTAGCAAATCTCACAATTTTTAAATTAAGGCTAAAATATGCCATGTATTAATTATATTTTTCCCCTCTGTAATAGGAATTCTTCCTGGCTTTCTTTGGAAAGATGTCTGTTTTTAACCAGGTCTCTTTTCCATCTTATTCCATCATACTTGTTGCCTCAGAGATCTTTCTAGAGCCTCTGCCTGTGGCCTCTTAGGAGAGAGGAGGATTCTCATGGTTTATAGGGATGCTGCTGCCTAAGGCCCAGTACCACAGTGGCTCTAGTCTTCCTAGATCAACTAAGTTCCACTTGATTCTGACTCACTTTGAGGTGGTTGGAAGCTACATCATGTTTAATTTCTTGCTTTGGGCATCTTCAGAAGTCAAATTGAGATCTTCCTTCCAGATACTGCCATGTACAACCTGACTGAATATGTTAGTAGAGACTGGGAAAGGGACAGTGGCTTCTGAAGTGGATTAAACCAGAAACTAGTCCTGGATAATGACACGTTCAAAGCATTAGACAGCCAGAGCTGGAATAAACAAATGCTGCCCAGGCATGTTTCTTAAACAGATTGCATTTACCATCAGTGTTCTGGCTCTTCCAGAGAAACTAGCACTATTGGTCTTTGTCAGTTAGGTAGTCAATGTCTTGGTTTCAGTAGCAGACACTGCCTCTAAGTAAATGTTCTTAGATACCTGGAAGAAAGCTCTTTTATGAGATGGAAGGCCAGGTGACAGCCTTTGGACTTTGCTTCCTGTTATCACCCAGCCCTGTCATCTGGACTGTTTTCTGTTGATCTCTACAGTTCTCAGTCAGTGAGAGTACTCCTTTCCCTTCTGAGCTTGCCCAAATAGATCTGCCTCAGCTGTCTTTGTTTTTGGTATATCCTTTTATTGGTACATTTTAGGTGTACAATATAGTGACATTCATCATTGGAGATATGCACCCTTACATACTCTCTTGGTTCTTATTTTTTACCCCTTCCTCTGCCCTCCCTTCAATCCCTCCATCCCTCCCTATTTACAAAGACTTTGTTTCCTTTTTTGTATTTTCTCATATTAATTCCATACCTCAGCTATCTTAATGGCTGCACAGAATCCATAATTCATTTATCCACTCTCTCCTTGGACATTAGGGTTGCTTCCATTGTACTATTACAGATGAGGCTGACAGCAAACCCGTTGCTCTGGTATCCCTGAAAGTCAGTTTCAATCTTTTTGCTCTGAGGAGAAAAGGTTTGGTGACTCCTCCACGTCCAGCTATGTGACTAGCAAGAACCACTTAGTTTAACGGGATTCACTGATTTCTCCCTCTAGGAACCATGCAGATGTTACAACAGGCCCATCTGTATACTGTGAGAGGGCCGGCCCTAAATATCTTACCTGAGGGTGTGTGCCCTGAGCACCTCTCACTCAGGAGTGTGGGCTTCTGAGTGTCAGCACATTGTGGAGAGAGAAGGGTGACTACATGGGTAAAGTCTTCCTATTTATACTTTGAGACATAAGGTCAGTGTAATTATGTAAGAGGAAGAAGAGTTATTAAAGTTTCTGTGATGAGAATTTTCTGCCTAGTTTATAGAAAAATGGTAGCTGAAATATGAGTCTCTCTCGCTCTCTTTATACTTGGGAGTGGTCACAGGTTGAGTTTCTGTGGAACAGTTAAGTCTCTACAGTGAGATGATGCATAAGACTTTTGGCACTGTGTCTGGCACCAAACACACTAAGTGATAGATGCCAAGTTACAAGGTCAGCATAGTAGAAGGCCTCCTCCCTCACTCAACCTTTCTCTTGTTCCTCAGAGAATCATATTTTGGAAGATGTGAACAAATGTGTCATTGCTCTCCAAGAGAAAGATGTGGATGGGCTGGACCGCACAGCTGGTGCAATTAGAGGCCGAGCAGCCCGGGTCATTCATGTAGTAACCTCAGAGATGGACAACTATGAGCCCGGAGTCTACACAGAGAAAGTTCTGGAAGCTACCAAGCTGCTTTCCAACACAGGTGTGTGGACTGTCTTAGTGCTCCCCCAACACACAGCTGGGTAGGGCATCCTACCATCCTGTTCACCCTGATTTAGGAAGCAGGGATGACAAAACTTCACTCTTGGCATAGGAGTTCTGGGTGGTACATCACACATGTAAAGTTGGCCAGCCAAAGTCATGTCTCACAAGCACATTTCCTTCATGTGCATCTTGAGTAATCATGGGACTAATTATGAACAATGTATTTAAGAACAACTAAGTCTCTTATTGGTGAATAAGTACTATTAAGTGGGTCTCATTCTTAAGCAAGGACTCAAGTTAGTCTCACTAGTTCTCGAGTATCTAAACCCTATGTTGCAGTCTGGTGAGAGACAAATAAGATGACTTGAGATTTTGTCAATACTGCCCTTAATTTACTTCATCCATAAATACACTTGGTGTAGCAGCAGAAGCTTTTTCATCATGAGCCTTGCCTCTTCTGCTGGGTGAGGATTCTGGAAGGGCTGGTGGAATGCAGTCTGCTCACCAGGCAACCTGCCCTGCCTCTTGTGTCCTAGTCATGCCTCGTTTCACCGAGCAAGTGGAAGCAGCCGTGGAAGCCCTCAGCTCAGATCCTGCCCAGCCCATGGATGAGAATGAGTTTATTGATGCCTCCCGCCTCGTGTACGATGGCATCCGGGACATCAGGAAAGCGGTGCTGATGATAAGGGTGAGTAACTGCATTCCAGACGTTTTAACAGCTTCTTATCATTTGCGAAACTTGAGCAGTTCGTCATTCTGGAACTTGGCAGATGCAGTAGCAGTATATTAAAGCCATGCTTCCAAAAGCTGTTAGAAGGAGATATATTTAATTATGTTGTCTAAACTGTTATTTGCAAGTTAGAGCCCCAACTTGGGCCGAGAAAGGGAGCTAGCACAAGAGTTGGTCTTGATGACTTAATTTAGGGCAAACAATCATCTTAGTGTCAGACTTCAGTTTTAATTACAGGGGAAACTACAGAAAATACAGATTCTTGAGTTAATTTCAGAGAATTGTTTCCTAATGCTGGTTGAAGTCATTGTTCACATAGAGCACCCCTCTCCTTGAAGGGAGATGCTAGACCCTCAGGTAGATGATGGAGTCCCACCGAGTTTGGGGTGAGGGTCAGGGACCATGGCAGTTTCTGGCAGTGCTCCCTGGCTAACCCTAAGTGTTGAACTCCTCTCCAAGGGCTGAGTGGAAGTGTGACCTGTGGACCTTATTTGACCCATCTCTGAGAGGGCAGCAGTTCTCGTTGTTTGCAAAAAAATGTCCTTGGCCCTTTCTGGGTTGGCATAAACAAAGGGGCTTCAGAAACACCCAGTCCCTCCATAGTACATCTGCAGGGTGCTGAGCCTGCATCTCCCAGCTGCCTTTCCAGAGCAGTTGATCCTTCGCATGCTGCTCTGAGTTTGTTGCCCTGGAGTCTGAAGGCAGAGCTTGTGCCTACTCTTCCCCAGGGCCACCTGGGTGCTTTTGGTCTGTAGCCAGGCCCGACAGAGCAGGCCTGTGAAGCACAGGGTCCGCCTCCTACATCAGCCCAGCTGATGGTGTTGGTCTGTGCTGTGCTGTCGTGCAGTCCCCGTGGGGAGCTTCCTGTACACCTTCGTGGTTTCCCAGGTGAACTTAACCAAAGGAGGCAGGGATTCAGTCCCACTTTTTCACTTCCGCAGCCTGGCCTGCAGACCTTGCCAGGAGGTCAGCTGGGAACAGGCCATTTCTAAGGGAGTTACACTGGGCTGGTTCTGTTTTGTGTGCAATAGAAAAACACCCAGGCAAGACTGTTCTCTCTGGGGTGAGGAGGGAGAGAACTGGCTCCCAGACTCCCCTGGACATGATAGGGGTGGGGATGGTGAACGCTTTTGCTTTTGTATTCCTTCTGCTGGACTGAGGAAGAACCTATGTTCAGGAAAGGGCTGGACTGAATAAATACAGAGACCAGTGTCTTTAACTTAGTGGTGTGAAAAGGTTCCCAGGTCACATACACCAGTGGTGATGCACACAGCTGTTTTTCCAAAGTTCTTTCCATGCTTGTAAATACACAGAAAATAAAAGCCCTAATGATACAGAGGTGTGGCTAGGTGTGTGAGAGTCAGAGTGGCTGGTAATGGATTAATTTAGATGCTTCAGGCCCCAGAGGGGTTATAGAAACCCCATCCTGGGAACCGGCATGTTGCTGGGGTTCCTCTTCCAGCAAGGTCTCTCATCTCTGGCATGCAGTTTTGTTCTGTATATGAGATTATTGTGGCTTTGGTGGTTTTACTGAGGTGAAATGTAGGTAATGTCTCTGGCACAGGACCTAGCACATAATGACTGTTTCTTACCATGTTTCATGCTGTGATGGAACTGAAGAATGATGGAGGTCTTAATATAACCTTCTGGACGACCAGACACCTGTAAAGAGTGGACAGAACCATAGTGGGCGGCCTTTCAGGGCAGATGTGAGGCCAGCCATGGGTGCCTGCATAGGCAGAGGAAAGAGCTTGGGAGACACCTGTGGTTTAGCTCCTTGTTTACGGTTCCACTCTTGACCTATTCCTGTTTTCAAGAATCATCCTTCCAGCTCCTGGGCCTCTCAGGTTCTTGACATCCTGTTCACCCTACCTCAGCCTCACTCCCACAGGCATGCTCTAGCCCCATCCACCCATCTAGTGCTCAGCTGCTCCTTCTGGCACTGTCACTCCCAACTATCCTTTGAGTCTCTCAGTGCCTTCAGTGGTTGCTCCTCTCTACTTGTCACACTAACTGGGCCCCTTGGGCCCTTAGTTCACTCCTTTCTACCTTTGAGTCTGGCTCATATCCTTTAGCCCCCTCCTTGTCCTTGCCTGGCCAAATGTAGCCCTTGTGAAGTCCTACTCTGCTGCTACACACTGCGCAGACCCACAACAGCCACACTGATGGGGGCTGCTGAGGCTGTGACTTTGTGGGCCCTTGGGGCTCCCTAACAGTCTCCCCTACCCTGGTCCGGGAGTCTGGGACCATTTCCTCCCTTCCTCTTCTCCACCCTCTCCACCCTACACACACATCCATCTGGCTTTCTTGCCAGTTCCACCAGAAGTGTCATCTCTCACCCACAGCCCCATCTCTGCTGGTTTGTCTCCACTGGTGGTTGCTTTTGGAAAGTCCTCGGCCCCTTCTCTGTCCTGCCCTCACACCTTGCCTTGTGTATCAGAATGAGAGTCTGTCTCTCAAAGTGACCCCCCCTGAGTTCACACTTGTGTAGCGGATTTGCCCAGGAGCCAGCTCCTGGCCCCTTCGCTTAGTCTTTGTGCATTGGTTGATAACAACTTCTTCGCTTGCTCGGGCCCAAACCTTGGATTTTCCTAGATTTATCTTTTGTCTCATCCTTCAGATCTGATCCCCAGCAGGTCTTACTGGAGGTTGTTCCATCCCTTGATTTCTGCAGTTTTGTCTGCATGAAGAACAGCAGCTTCAGTCAAATCATGCTGTCTCCCAAGGTGCCTGTGCCACCTGGTCCTTACACTGGCCTGTGAGACCCTCTGGCACCATCCCTGTCACCTCTTTGTCCTCATCCCTTGCTGTTTTCCCCTTGCTCTCCCAGATGAGTCTGTGAGACCTGGCAGTGAGCCAGGTCCCTTCTCTGAGCTCCCTGACCCTTGTTCAGTGACAGACTCCTCCCCACACTTTCCGTTGTTCCCACCAGTTGCTGTCTGAGGCTTCTCCTGGCCACCCAGTTCCCTTTCACTGCTCTGCTTGCTTATAATCCTGCTCAATTTCTAACACCCATGAGTGAATATCACACCTTCATGTATTTTGTGTGCTGCTATTGCTTCCCTCAGAGTACCTGTGAGAGCAGGAATCTAAAGTCTGTGTCAGTCATTTGCTGTGTCTGGGCCCCAGGACAGTGCTTAGCACACAGTAATCAGCAGATTTGGGTGAATGACTGACTACAAGGAAAGGAGTTACTAGAAGGGTTCTTGGTTCTATGGCGGGTGCTCCTTTGGGAAGTGCCTTAAAGACAGCACACACCAGCACACACCGACATATCTACCACAGGATTAAGACCACCAGTGGTGGTACTGTGTTTATGCCATCAGTTCTGCAGGGCTTCTCCCCCATCCTTCCATCTGAACCTCACTACAAGCCCTGGGCTGGGCTTGGACGGGGCCTTGGTACAGATGAGGGCCTCACCTCACTGCCCTCCTGTCACAGGCCGGCCGGCTGGGCTGAGGGCCAACCCCAGCTGTTCCGCCTGCTGCCCCCTTCCAATAACTGCCAGAAGACAACATGGTGTCAGTAGCTAAGGAGAGAGGCTGGAAGTTTGTGCAAAGTAAGAATTTTATTTTGTAATTAGAGCAAAGATCTAGAACCAGCAATCAGTCCTTTGGTATTTACTGAGCCTTTCGCTGCTGACCTGGTGTAGCTCCCCTTTTCCTTTGATAAATGTTAAAAAAAAAAAAAAAAAAAAAAAAAGCTAGACATGGTGGTACACATGTGTAATCCCAGGACTCTGGGAGGCTGAGGCAAGAGGACTGTAAATTCAAGCCTAGGCAACTTAGCTGCTTAGCAAGACCCTGTGTCAAAATAAAAAGGGCTGGGGATGTAGCTCAGTGCAAAGGCCCTGGGTTCAATCCATAGTACCACCCCCAACCACCAAATATTTAGAATATATTGCTCCTTTTTATTCCTCAAAGCAGCCAATACTATATAATTGTCTTTTTGTTCTAAAAGTAGTAAAGTTTAAAAAGTGAAAACCAGCCAGGCATGGTATGCACCTCTTAGAAGGCTGAGGCAGGAGGATCCTTTAAGACCAACCCCAGTCTCCAAAAAAAACAATAACAAAAGTGCTGATGTAGGATCCATACAACAATGATAAGTGATTTTACCCACAAGGGTTTGGAACCCTGGACCCTGAATCTTAGAATTTTGGGCCTCTGTGCTTTTGGCTGAGAGGCTCAGCGTGGCCAAAGGCTCAGGGCTATGTCTGACTCATCATGGCCTCTTTCTTGGCGGCAGACCCCTGAGGAACTGGATGACTCCGACTTTGAGACGGAAGACTTTGATGTCAGAAGTAGGACAAGTGTCCAGACAGAAGATGACCAGCTGATAGCTGGCCAGAGTGCCCGGGTAAGAAGCACCCCTTAAGTTATTCGGTAGCCTCTCTCTGTCCTGGCCTTTTTCTCTTCTAGAAAAACACCGTGCATTCATTCAGGGCACTGTTTTCTCTTCGCTTGGCAGCAGGACTGAAGTTAACCTGCATTGTGGCACCTGCTGGTCAGTTGTGGGTTTCTCTCGAAGTGTCCTTAGCCCAAGCAGGGTGGAAATGTGGGCTGCCTCAGCTGTCCCCAGAGGCTCTGGTTTTTGATAAAGCCCTGGGTCAGGAGAAACCTAAGATCTAGTCAGTGCAGCATTTGTTAAAAAGGATTGTGAGATTTGAAAAAGATTGGTGCCTTTGCCCATTTCACTGATACCATGGGTATGAGCTATTTAATTATTCATGGGTTTAAAAAAATAACAGTGGTACATTCAAGGAAACCAGTCAGAGCCATTGCATTCATCTGAGTCATTAAATCTTCAGTCAATAGCATTTATGTTTTTGGAAGAAAGCCAAGAAATATTTCTAAAGAGTCTTATTTTTTCACTCCTTGGAAATCCATGGAGAACAGCGAGCAGCTCCTTCATTAGTCCAGCTTGGGCACAAGCACTTGGAAGCTGAGCAGAGCCGGCCTGGGCTCGTGGGCTGAATGAAATTGGGCAGCAGGTTCCAAGTGCCCTGATAGGTAGTTAGGAAGTCTGTTCTTCAGCATCTTCTTCTCTGCCTTCTGCCTTCAGAATTTACATTCTACAGCCACTTCGAACTTGCCTTGAAAATTTGGAAATGTCCATTAAGAGCCCACAGGAGAAAGGGCTGCACACATCCTTCATCCCCACCTCTCCTCTTCTGTCTCCACAAGAGGCAGAGGATGAAACTTAAAACATTAAGTCAGCCAGGTTCCATCCCTGCCCAGGTGTGATTGTGAGGCTCCCATTAGCCTTCTACCCTTCACATGCTATTTTCCCTCCACAGTAAGACTTGTTCTTGAAAGTGGGTCAGGAATTAAGGCTTTTAAACTTCTGAAAGAAATGAGAAGAAATAGCCCTTCAGGCAAAACAAAACCTACCAAAGCATTATCTTACCTGTGTCATTGATTGCCTGTTGGAAATATCCTTGCTAATGCACTGGGAGAACTTCACATTCTCTTTATGTAAGAGCTTTCCGTGCTTCCGATGTAGGCGATCATGGCTCAGCTTCCCCAGGAGCAAAAAGCAAAGATTGCGGAACAAGTGGCCAGCTTCCAAGAAGAAAAGAGCAAGCTGGATGCTGAAGTGTCCAAATGGGATGATAGTGGCAACGACATCATCGTGCTGGCCAAGCAGATGTGCATGATCATGATGGAGATGACAGACTTCACCCGGTGAGCAGTGAGCAGCACCCTGAGTGGAGAGAGCTGCCTTCTTCCCCACGCAGGGCCGCTTTGTAGATAACTGTCATTCTCAATTCTCTAACTGGCAGAGGTGTCATAGACAGGGATTCTTGCTCTCTTTTTTCAGAGGTAAAGGGCCACTCAAAAACACATCAGATGTGATCAGTGCTGCCAAGAAAATTGCTGAGGCAGGATCAAGGATGGATAAGCTTGGGCGAACCATTGCAGACCATGTAAGTGATGAACTTACCCTGGGCTCAGCCTGGACCATTGTTGAGGGGGTTGTAATGATCATTCTTTTTTTTTTTTTTTTTTTTTAATTCTTTTATTGGTACATTGTAGGTATACAACACAATTACATTTCTCATTGGGAATTGTACCTTTACATAATGCATCTTGGTTCTTATTTTTTCCCCATTCCTAGCTCTTCCTTCATGCTCTCCACCCTTCCCTATTTACAAAGACTTTATTTCCATTTTTTTCATTTCTCATCATTTTTCCTTTCCCCTGCCCTCCCACTACCCCTACCACTTTGGACCTTTTCTTCCTATTTTACATTATCGATTATTCATTCTAATCACTGGTACATTTTAGGTATACAATATGATGACATTCATCATTGGAAATTTGCACCTTTACATAGTCTCTCTTGGTTCTTATTTTTCACCCTTGCCCAGCCCTCCCTTCAACCCCTCCATTCCTCCCTATTTACAAAGATTTTGTTCCTACTTTTCCATTTTCTCATATTAATCCCATTCCCTTCTATCCTTTTCTCTAGCCCTCCCACTTCTTCCCCTTTGCCCCTTTTCTTCCTATTTCACATGTAATGATCATTCTTATGGACCACAGCACTGTCACTCATCTCTAAAAATTTCTAAATGCCTGTGTCTTTTTTTGGCAAGTCTTAGGAGCTAGGCCCAGTTTGCATCAGAGCAAACCAAACCAGAGTCAAAACCAAGCTCTCCTGTGCGTCTTTTCTCAGTTCTGTCCTCAGAACTTCCACTCTACAGAGGGGCTGCCTCTGCCGGCCCTCCCACACTGGAACCAGAAGGGTCAGCTCATATGAGTCAGGAGTCCCTTTGGTGGCCAGTGCTTTGAAAGGCTGATATGCCTGCCCCTAGAGACAGCTTCTGTGTCCTTCAGGCTGTGTGTCTTCAGCCACTATGCTTTGCCCCTTTATTCCCCCATTTGACTGGTTCCTACTTCCTAGAACCTTCACACCACATTTTAACAACTTAATCCAGGTATCCGACCACCTGCTTGGACCCCTGAGATCTATCCTGTAGCTACTCTTCCCTCCACTCCATTCTGCATGCAGCCACCAACACTGTCATTATAAAATGCCTTGCTTTAGTGACTTCTTAGAGTAAAATTGGAAGTCTCTAGCATGGACTGCAGACCTCACTTTATACCACTCCATTATTCCTTAGGCCCCAGGTTCTCGGTAGAAGAGCAGTGCTGGAAACACTTGTGCCAGCTCTTCTTCTTGCTTTGGTTTGTTTACTTATCTTCCACCTTTGCCTAATGTGACTGTCTCCTGTCATCAGATGCTTAATTTTGTGTGCATCATAACTGGGCAGATAGTGTCTTGGGGCAGAAGAGCCATTGGTTTAGATGGTTAGTGTGCATAGTTGAAAACTTTCTTTCTGACTTTTGTGTACCTGACTGCTGTGTATGGGGTCATAGACTTCTACCTGCTAGAAGGTTGGAGGTGGTTTCCTCGTGGTTATGTAATAAGAGGAAGGCTCAGGGAGTATTCACTGTGCCCTTGTGGCTGTGTGCAGCACCCTCAGCTTTATGAGGGGACTTGCCTCCATCCTCAAGCCAAGTGGACTGGGCTGCAACTGCCCCAGGTAATGGGACAATCATCTCTCTTGCCCTTTGCTCCCGCAAGAAGAGAGGAAGTGAGTTAGTGCCACCCTGAGCCTTAGAAATAGCCTGGAACTTGGCGTATAGTCTAGGCCTAGTCTGGAGGGCTTGGTACTCAGCTTGTTCTCCCAACAGTGCCCGGACTCAGCCTGCAAGCAGGACCTGCTGGCATATCTGCAGCGCATAGCCCTCTACTGCCACCAGCTCAACATCTGCAGCAAGGTGAAGGCTGAGGTGCAGAACCTTGGCGGAGAGCTCGTTGTCTCCGGGGTGAGTGTCTGGTCAGGAAAGTGGTTGGAGAGGGAAGTAGCCTCTCTCCACACACACTCCATGGCTGCACCAAATGGATAGGGCTGCTGCACGGAACTCCGAGTTCCATCTCAGTCCCTGGGGGCTGGGGGCTGTCTGTCTCCCTGCTTAACTGCATCTCTTCGTAGTCTGGTGCGGTTGTTGACGGGTGGTACCATTACTAGGACTGGCCACTCGCTGAGGAATTTTATCCTCCTTGCTTTAGGAAGTAAGCCTGTTCAAAAACTCTTCCACCCAGTGTCATAGCTATTCCTTTTCCTGGTGATCAGGCCTCAGGCTAGGCCCTTCTTACTTTAGGCAGTGGAAACAGGATGTCTGGACAGGGCTCTCCTGAGGCCTTGCAGTTTATGTTAATCCCATAGGATTTCCTTTAAAGCAATTCCCTTACTTTGTGTGTGGGGGGTGGGGTTCTGTGTTGGATGGGGTTGACTTGACTCCATTCCTTCTCTGTAATGCTGGTGCTCACAACTCTGCCATCAGCCATGGTTCAAAAAGGAGGCTGCCTGTCCATCTATGGTTTTGTGAATGAAAACCTGAGGGGTAAGGGAGTGTACAAGGTGATAGCACCTTTTCAAAGGATCTGAAACACGAGTGTTTCTGGATTATTTGGATAAGAGCAGCCATTGAGAAGCTAATGAGTGGTGGGCGTTCCTGTCAGGCCCATCTCACCTGTGCCTGTGTCTTGCAGGTGGACAGCGCCATGTCCCTGATTCAGGCAGCCAAGAACTTGATGAATGCCGTAGTGCAGACAGTGAAGGCATCCTACGTAGCCTCTACCAAATACCAAAAGTCTCAGGGTATGGCTTCCCTCAACCTTCCTGCCGTGTCATGGAAGATGAAGGCGCCTGAGAAGAAGCCATTGGTGAAGAGAGAGAAGCAGGATGAGACACAGACCAAGATTAAGCGGGCATCACAGAAGAAGCATGTCAACCCTGTGCAGGCGCTCAGTGAGTTCAAAGCCATGGAAAGCATTTGAGCCCCTGCTCGACAGCTGCCTAACCCCAGGGCTCCTGGAGATCAGTTACTATTCTGCACCCAATGCATTTATTAAGTAGAGAACCTAACACTAATGTTAGCTCCCACAGAGGAAGTGGCAGATCTGAACCCAGCCGGTAAATTCTGCAAGGACATTACATACTTGTAAGTTGGTCACAAAATGCTTTTAGAATTCAAAGGATATTTCTAGCTATATTTTTTATAAACTTAAATAAAAGTTCCATAACCAAAGAGAATCTCACATTCACTTGTCAGTAGCACTCTTGCCCCTGTGGGGCCGCCTGGGTGCTCGCTGGGTGGCTCAGGAGTGAGTGGCCCCCACCAACCCAGGGGCTGCAGTGAGGTGCTGAATGACCAAAGGTGATCTGGGTATCTTAGGAAACAGTCTCTGGAAAAGGAATGTGGTAGAGAGGTAGACCTTCCAAGGGGTAAACCATGTGAAACAGTAACATAATGTATCCTGAAGAAAACTGATTACTCTTTATGAAATGAAATGAAAGCTATAATGCATAGCTACAATTACTAATGTACTCTGCTGCAGGACATTAATAAAGCTGCTTTTCTTGGGTTAGGCTGTTCTGATACCATAGTCAGAACTTGCTCCCCCCCCCCGCCCCCTTTCTTCAGCCTCAAATGCAAATTTCGTCAGTGGGCTCACTAATGAGGGCAATGTTTCCTGCCTTGGGCTTGCAGCTGAAGCCTGACGAGTAGTTTTTCCTTAGGCAATAGTTTTAGACTTTATCTTATTTGCGATTACTATAGCTACAAGGTATAATTTTTCTGTCTTATTTAAATTTTATGAATTTGAATGTTTTTTACACTAACTTTTCTCAATAAAGTTCACTCTGAAGCCAAGTCTAAGAGTCCAAAGTTATCTTTGCCTTTAAGAAGAGTCAGTGTCTGCAGGGGCTCACAGGCTCGTGCCAGCCCACAGGGAGGGCTGTGCCCCTTGTCCTGTTGAATGTCCCAACCTGTATCAAAACCATGGAGAGGCACACTTGACTCGTTCTGTTCCTTTATGCTTTCTCTTCTGAGTCAGCCAGATTGTCCCAGGAAGCCAGCTGGTCCACCCAATTGCCTCCTGAACTCTCCACTTGGGTGCCTGCTAAGAATCTCCAGCTGGATCTGCCCCAAGTGCCCTTCCACTGCTCTCCACCACCCTTCACCCTGCTGTTGGCCCCCACTTACTGCTAGCTGGTGCTATCAGGCCCCTCATTTCTATGGCCAGGTACCAAAAAATGAAAATTAAAAATGTATGTAAGCTCACTACTTATCACTTGGCTGAAGCTATCATACCAGTTATCTATGACTGTGGACAAACTGCCCCCAAATTCAGCGTCTGACACATTTATTACCTCAGGAGTTCCTGGAGGTTGAAAAGCTGGGAGCTCAGCTAGGTGGCTCCTGATGCCTTGATTCTCACTGTTCTTTGTCACTCTGCTTCTGTCCCTGTCCCCCGTCCTTCCTTGAGCATGTTAAGCGTGTCTCACCTTGCCATGGGCCTTCATGGCTCCCCTGCTTGGAATGCACTTCTTCAGAGAAATCCTAGTGCTTTCTTGGGCAGCTGCTAGTGTCTCAACTGTCAAGTCCCATCTGCTGCTGCCCCTTCATAACGCTGACCTCTGCCCTCCATGCGTCTCTGGAGGGTGCGGGCAAGCAGCTTTATTCTGCTCACTCCAGAATCCATAGCTGAGGATGCCTGTGCAGAGGCACCGAGAAATCTTGGCTTTGTGCTCCTCAGCTGCCCGCCATCCCCAGTTGCCTCCTGGTCCTCCTCCCTTGCTAGCTCTGGGACATTCTCAGCTTTTCCTGCCCTCCCTTTGTTATACTCCAAAACTGTCCCCCGGCCCGAGCGCTGGATCCATGTTGTCCTCTGCTGTTTCACCTAATTTCACCACACCACACACTCCACCAGTCTGTGGGCTCAGCCCAGCCACTCCCCAGTAGCAGATGCCAAGGCCTTGCAGCTCCTTGGGATCTCTGTCAAGGTCCCACCAGCCTCCAACTCCAGCCCTGGAGCCACACGTCTGACCCGGTCTCACCTGTATAAAGCCCTCTGGCTGGCTGCTGGCCATCTGTTTCTCCTGTGTCCAGCATGAGGCTCTGAAGGGTTTCCTGAGACACCTGTGCTTCCCAGGAGGCCCATCAAAGCCTGTCTCCCTCAGATACCACCTCTGCTGGATCTTCAGTCTGATCTTAATGCTGTTATTTGGAAGTCTTGCCTCATTGTCCAGGCTGACTTCAAACTCCTGGGCTCAAGCAACCTGTCTCAGCCTCCTGAGCAACTGGAACTACAGACATGCACCACTATGCCTGGCTTACGTCTTTCAGGATAGCTTCCTTCGAAGCAGTATCTATTAAATTGTTTGACATGCTAAGTACATTCTCCTAATACCTATTAAAATAACATTTTAGTAAATATTCATGGATCACTTAAAGTCACCCCTTACCACAAAGGGGAACACACCAGGCCACCCCTGGACCTCTATCCAGTCCCCTGCCCCAGTGCCCCACAACCTGTGGCGTCACACCGTGCCTCACCGGAAAGCGTGTGTTCAGGGAACAGTGAGCATGTGTCCTGTTTGCCCCCAGTGTCCAGCAAAGGCCCAGCTTGTGCTCGACAGTCCTTGACTGTCCCAAACCATGAACCGATTAAGACCATTCAAAGATACTGGAGGACAAGGAGCTTGCAACCGGGGAGGCACTAGAGGGCTTGCAAAGCCCAAGCTGAGGCTCAGGTGCTGCCCAGAAATCTTGCAACTCCTCTGTTGTCCTCGTGGGTGTCACAGCTTGGGCTGATGATGAGGGGGCGCAACTCCATGGCTGGGTCTGGTCTCCAGAGGTGCTGAATTGGCCCCCCTGGCATCCACCGAGGACCTCCTTGCCTGTGTGTCCTCCTCTAATTGTCCCAGTCTATGTGGCACCTCAGCTTGTCATACTGCTCTCACTATCACCCTGCAGGGCTCCCATGGCCCCAGGCAGGTTCTGCAAAAGCCATTCTGCAGCCCTTGTGCTCCCACCCCCAATCTACCCCTCCCCATGCAGGCCAGGGCCACCTCCCCACTGAGCCACAGGAGAAGGGGCCCTGTATCTCTCCATTTCCTCTGCACAACCAGAAAAGTGTTGGTGTTACCTTGGGCCTTGAGCCTCCCAGCTGAAGAAGTGGATTCACAGGTGATGCCTCTCACCCCAGGTGGCTTTGGACCCAGTCCCTCTAATGCCCTTAGGTTCCAACCGTCTGCTCTGGAGCCCTGAGTAGCTGGGGTGTTGGTGGTCACTTCTTCCTGCTGCATCTGCCTAGGTTTCCACACTTCCACACCCTTCGCCTGTGCCTACTTATCCTTCCCAGCACATTCTCGGAGCTCTGGCAGCGATGGGGAGCAGGGCTTGGGTGTGGGTCCTCTGGGCAACCAGAAGATGCACAAAGGCACTCCTTTATTATGCACTTTATGGCTGTAAAAGAATTGCAACATACAATTAACAAATCATACTAAAATCTGTACTACCCTTCCCTGGAAAGCCTACCTAGCCAACTGATTCACTTTTTTTTTTTTTTTCTTTTGGTACCGGGGATTGAACTCCGGACCCTGCGCTTGCAAGGGAGGTGGTGGAACCACTGAGCTAAATCCCCAGCCCTTAGCCGACTGATTCCTGAAGAAGGCGTTCACTGATTTTTGCTGCGCTCTCATATCCACAGGCAACTGACAAAGTCTGATTGTGGCACGAATGCTGCAAATGCTGCTTGATATTTTCATTTACCTTAAGGTTTTAAATGAAGTAAAACAAAAACATGTTGGGATTGCACTTGTCAGTAGGTGACTTCTTTGCTGAATCAGACAGCAACTGTCAAATACTATAAGACTCTTCCCTCCATTTTTAATGCTAATGACAATGTTAACTACCATAAACAACACACTTTTAAGTTTAATTGGCATTATCAACATTTTCTTCATTACTTAAGTCCAGACTATCAACAAAACAAGTTAAGCTTGGCTTTGTAGCTTGTCCCAGTTTCCCTCGTGTAAATACAGCCACAGCATCAGATTCCAAGCCACGGTGGGCAGTCCAGGGCGTGGAGCTGGGCACAGCAGGTGTGTGGTAACCAGGGAAGGAGAATCTTCTGGGTCAGTTCCTTTGTACAATTCAGGCTGGAATTCACATGAAGTAAAATCCATATTCGGCTGTACAATCCTATGATTTGGACAAATGCAGCCCCAGAACTCCATTATAAGCAAGATTCAGAAAGCCTTGCTCCCAACCCGACATGCAGCTCCCTAGTGGATGCTCTCCGAGTGTAGTCAGGTCAGCCCTACCTTAGGTCTTATAAAAACTGCCCCTGCAGGTTTGTTTGTTGTTTTGTTTCTGGTTTTTTTTTTGGTACCAGGGATCGAACTCCTTGCACTTTTGAGGCAGGTGGCAGCACCACTGAGCTAAATCCCCCCACCCATCCTTTTTTTTTTTTCTGGCATCCAGGATTGAACTCTGGTCCTTGCGCTTGCACAGCAGGCGGCGAAACCACTGAATTAAATCCCTGGCCCTCCCCCCACCCTTTTTAAGGCAAGGTCTTGCCTTGTAGTTCAGGCTGGCCCTGAACTCTGTGTATCCCAGGCTGGCCTCAAACTCATGGTGATCCTGCTGCCTCAGCCTCCTGAGTGCTGGGATTACAGATGTGCACCACCACGCCTGGCTCCCTACAGTTTTGAAACTGCATGTCGTTCTAAGTAGCATAAACTCACACCATCCACCTCCATCCTGCTGATGACAGCAGGCATCCTGTGTCCACTGTATACATACTGAGGGGACCACCTACTTGTCATGTAGGAGCCACCTCGGCTATCAGGTCGACCATCACAGTATCACAGGGCCCATGTGCAAGAAGCATTTATGTAATAATGACCCCAAGATGCAAGAGTAGTTGGACACTAGCAATTCTGACATGCCACAGAGAAGCTGTGAAGTCCTCCCACTAAGTGAAAAGGCACTTGATAAGGAAAGTGGAAAATAAATCACAGGCTGAGGTTTGTGAAGCTCCACAATAAAAATAAATCATCTGGGCCAGGGATTTAGCTCAGTGGTTCTGCCGCCTGCTTCTCAAGCACAAGGTCCCAAGTTTGATCCCCGCTACCAAAAAAAAAAAAAAAAAGTTATTTCCAAGAATAAATCTGCAAAATTGTAAATAAAAAGATATATGAAAAAAAATTTTAAAAAAGATGTATGTGCTAAATTTACTGTTATGCCTCAAAATAGCAAGTTACACACATAGTACACAATAAGTATTGATTACAAAAGTCAGGCTGGGCATAGTAACACACACCTGTGATTCTAGTGACAGGAGGCTGAGGCAGGAAGATTACAAGTTCATGGTCCAGCCTGGTCAACTCACAGCAAATGTCCTGCCTTAGCCTCCCAAGTGCTAGAATTAGAGACATGTGCCACCATGCCCAGCTTCCATAGGATTTTCTACATTGACAATCCTGTCATTTGAGAATATAGCTTTATTTCTTCAATCTGTATGCTTTTTATTTCATTTTCTTGCCTTAAGGTACTGCCAGATTTCCAGTACAATATTGAAAAGGAGTTATGAGAACAGACATTCTTGCCTTGGCCTCAATCTCAGAGGGAAGGAATTCAGTCTTCTACCATCAGGTCTGATGTCAGGTTCAGGGTTTTATGTAGTTTCCCTTCATAAGGTTAAGGAAGTCCCTTTCTATTCTGAATTTGCTGAGAGGTTTTATTATGAATGGATATTGAATTCTGCCGCCAAGTTTTTCTGCATCTGTTGAGATGATTGTGTGGCCTTTTCTTCTTCAGTCTATACATATAGTGACTTGAGCGAAACTAGTCTCTTTCCCAGC